TTTTTTTTTTAAAAAACAAACAAACAAACAAAAAATTTACATTTCAAAATAAATTCCCACTTTATATGAGATGCATGTGATCATGCAAAGAGGCTTCCTGCTGCACACCCAGCAAATGTCCAACATGTGCAGAGCTGACTTCAAAGCGCTTGTCATGGAGTCGGTGGTCGTAGTCGTAGTGGATTCAGTGGTGCTTAGTTTTAACTGCTGCTTTTAGTTTTGTGTAGAGAAAACCGAAATTCTGTTAAAAGAGAAAGAATAGGTTATTTTAAACTGGTAGTGCTTTTAGACTACGCAGAATGACGAATAAACAGTGCTGTAGCTGCACTGTCTACAGTTCCTTGTAAACAGTGCAGTTACATGGAAATATGGAATACAGTATGATTAGATAATATAATATGGACGTCAAAGAGTGCATTAACACACCTGGATTGCGTAGTAAACAATACCCAGGTAAGCAGCAATGCAGCCTCCCAGGAACAGATCAAAGGCTGCAGGCTTCACTCTGAATTAAAAAATGCACATTAGAGTTTAAAATTTAAAAAATTTAAAAACAGATATAATAATACCAATATCTACCTGTACATGACTATTGGTTGGCTCATTTGATCAAAGAAGGTAATATCAGGATCCCTGCAGGAAGAAATGTTGTTGATCATTATTATTGTTGTCGTGGTATGACCGATTGGATTGAAAAGATGTTCTTTCTACTCAGATAGCTGTATTTTTTTACCTCTTGTCCTGTCGGAAGGTGTGTCTGTGGACTTGCTGCAGATAGCGCTTGAATTCGTGCTCCAGTGAGTTGACCAGCAAGATATGACTGGGTTCCTTATCCAGCAGCTGAGTAGCCCGAGGGACTGATGTCAGGAAGGACATCAAACTGGAGATACGACTGTCCTGAATGTCCTGAATTACAGATTTGGATGTGGGTTTTGCAGAGGGGAAAAAAGAAATCACACAAAACTCAGCTTCTACTCTGCATGCATCAGTTCTTATGATTTAAAAAATAGACTCTGTTTAGACTTTTTCAGTTACATGTAGATATAAATCTTTAAGAAATGACATTAAAACATGTTTGAATAAATAACCTCAGTGATCCATCCCTAACCTTCAGATGATCATGAGGAATAAGCTGCTGAAAGACTCAAACACTGTGTCATGTCTCTAAACTAACACCAGAGGTCAGCACTTCTCTGTACATACCAATCAAAATAACTGGGAACTTACCAGCTGGCCCTTGAAAACTTGCACATCCTTTGGTGAACCCTTGTGAAAAATAAACACACAGTTATGACACATTAACATGGCTATTTTAAAGCAATGCTGACGTAATGAAAATTTTTTATTATATTTTCAGTATGCTGTGTTTTCATGCATTCAGTCACCTTGTCAGAGAGATTGTACATGTAGCGGGCCAGCGCTTCTGCTATGATGATGCCATTTCGCTTAAGTTTCCGGAAATCCACTTTTGACCTAGAGGTGATAGTCACATGAGTAAATATCTTTTAATGCCCTGTGAAAATACACTTGACTCAACAATCTGTTGGACAAAAACACAGTTTTGTATTTTTGCTTACGTACACCACCGTGGTGGATTTTAAATCAAACAATCAAGACGTGTTTGAAGTGCAGGCTTTCAACTTTGATTCAGAGGGTTTTACATGATAAAAATCTGCCTAGCTGAACTGTGAACAATGAGTTTTGCAGCATTTGGCTGAATCTAAGTTGAGAGTATAGCCCTGTACACTTCCAAATTCATCCTGCTGCTTACATGAGCAGTGACATCATCAATAAACAATAGTGACCCAGTTCCAACGTCTCCCACACGTGCCTATGCTATAACATTGATTCCACAATGTTTAACAGATGCTTCAGATTACGAGCTGTTTCTATCCATCTCTGCACTTCTCTCTTCCCATAATTCTGGGACAAGTTCGACTTTCATTCATCTGTCAAAAGACTTTTTTCCCACACAACTGGGTAGGCTCAGATGTTTCAGATGTTTTCTGACAAAGAGTAATCTGGCCTCCCTTTTCTTTATTATAACCAATGATTTTCACCCTCTGTACTTCCATCCCAAAGGCTTCTTTAGATTGTAGATTGATCCATGATCTATCTCCTCAAAAGGGTTCTTGACTTGGTTAGATATTGTGAAGTTGTCTTAACCATGGAAATAATTCTGTGATCATGTACTTTAGCTGCCTTTTTTGGTCTAACTAAACCACAGACCCACGCCTTTTTAAGAATATACTGTGCGTTCTCTCTATGATAGTTAGTTCTGAATTTTTCAGCCTAATGATGGCATCCCTCACCTCCACTGATATCGCTCTGAGTCTTATATTAAAAATTACAGTGAAACACTATAAAACAAATTGAACGCTTTGAGTCAAACTGAGATATTATATCTGCTTCATTAGTCATGAAAAGCAAGGGAACAGTCCTCAGCTGGCTATGAGACTGCTTGTCAGTGTATTGTCTAATTAATTTTGAGCCTCTGAAACTGAAGGACTGGATATATAAATAAATGTCTGTCGGTGTAAACCTTTTGTAAAAGCTGAAAAGCTGACTTTATTCACACATTAATTCTTTTACTTAAAATACACTATTGTGGTGTATAGGGGCAAACAACCTGGGCCTCAATGCTTTCAAATACTACTAATAATAATATCCATAAACAAAACTTGCATGGTGTCTAGCATAGAGCCACGAAGTTCAGATTTAGGATCTTCCAGATGAGACAGAGTGAAGCCCAGGATCCTGCGTAGGCTGTAGCGCTCATGCTCCCAGGCTACAGTAGACTCCACAAGATTGATCTTTTTATGAACCAACCCCACCTTCACCCAGGGAAATCTGGAGGAAACCACCTGGAGGGCAATTAAATAAGATATTTGCACAAATGACTAAGACTGGTGAGATCTGGTTGCTTTTCTTGCACGTGTAGAAACAGCTCCGCTGGTTACCTCCTCCAGTTGTTGGATGAAAGACTGCATTGGCGTGTCGGGTTTAGGAGGGCGGGAGACGTGCATGTACAGCTCATCGCCGTTGGCCAGTGTATCCAAGCACAGGACAAATGCCACATTGTCATGGAGAAGGCTGGACTCTGTATGGAAAATATATTTAGCTTTAAAAACCTGACATTTTGTGTTTTAATTCACATTAGCACATACAGCACACAGCCCACTCATGTTCAGTGAGTGGCAAAGCTGAAAACTCACCAGCGTGGTCCAAATTCTCTTCAATCCACCTCTTTGTTCCAAGGAAATTGTATTTTCCTCCTCCGGTCAAGGAGAACATTAAATTAAATCTAAAACACACACATACACACACAAAAAAAACAAAATTATTCAACAGCTTAACTTATTAACTATAACTGACCTGCACTGGCTGTTAGTTTTCCTCAAGGGTATTTCCGATCACTATCAGTCACTCAAAGCAACATCATTAGAGCCATGCAATTACAAAAGCTTTCACAGTCCAGCTGAGGTTACAATGAAAGCTAAGTTTGAAGATAGGTGTGGTCCCTGAGTAGTGAGTAACGAGGCCCTAATTTTCCTTTCCTGTTTTACTTTTCAGTGTATACTTCCTCCATACAGAATACAGTATTTTTATCCAGCAGCATATTATCTTGTTCAAAGACAGGCACAGCAGGAAAATTCATTGGAATTGCTGCGTGTTCATCTGCTTTGTAGATACATTTATTAACTTTGCCTTTGCTTTGTAATCTTACAATGAATTGGAACTTACTGTGGTCTGGTTCTGGGACTACTGTAGAGTTTTTGGAAGAGACGGGCCAACTCAATTAGGATTGTGACACCACCGGCATTTGAGTCTGCTCCATAAGACAACCACTGTAAAATGCGCACACACACATATCCATTTACGGTTCGAGCACAGTCTGATACTCTATCTGCTAAAATTTACACCTAATTTTAGAGGTGTTTTACGATTTGACTCACAGGGGCAAGCCCATAAGAGTCATAGTGGGCTGCGATGACTATAGTGGGTGCATCCTCTACTGCTCCTAGAAGAACTCCCTGAAATAAACATCCCCAGGCATATATCACAGAACCAAAGTGCATTTGCAAGCAGATTGAAAATTGTTTAACTGATATTGGATGATCTAATCAATTTTATTCCTCTATGGGGAATTATTGGGTCCCAAACTCACCTCCAGTGTGATTATAGCATTGTCAGTGGTGGCCTTAATTGGGGCATTGTTGATCACTAAAATCTGAAAAGCTGTAGCCGTGACCATACTGCGGAGGACTGTCAACAAAAGAAGAAATGCACCAGAACCGTGAGTAATACCATAACTTTCTTTTTAGTTTTCCCCGGGCATTAGTCCAAACAACCACCATTAAGCATTTGCATGTATCTCGTTGTTGTATCACTTACCTCTGACAAAAATGGATGATGTCCGGGTGGCTGCAGCCTGTTTCACCTCCTCATACATGCAGAGCAGCTGTTCATCCTCAGGTGCCACATACACTGGCATGAGGGTCTCCTTAAGCAAGGTCTCGCTTTCACTCACCATAAATGACTGAGAGACAAAATGCTTTACTTCAACCAAAGGGCAGAGAAACAATTGTAATCTTGAGTTTCTTAATATCTTCTTAATATCCTCCTTATAATCCTGTTTTCTTCTGATTTCCTTAGTAATTGAGTGATGTGTCTATAACAGAATGAATGCTTTTAAGTATTATAATTTATTACCTCTACTGCATTGTGAGGGATACTGGAGATATTTTGGGGCAGCAGGATCAGGATGGCAGCTGCATTTTGTCGTTGGGCCTCGGAGTATTTTTCTGTAGTGAAGTCTTCCACCTTCATTATCACACAGCGGCGGGTTAGCGACGGCTCTTCTGCTGAGCGTGCCTCCGCAACAACAATGGCTCCACGACAGCCTCGGCGGACGAGACAAGAGAAGGCAAATGATACATAAATACCAACTTGGGCAACATAGAAACTCTACTTTAAACGCAGCTTCCTCTTCCTGTTTTGTTACACAGAAAAAAAGCCTTTAGCAAACCAATCTGTTTCCAGTGGCAGTGACCACAAGCTCTCAGTGGTCAAGAAATATTAGTTCCCTCAGTCAGCTGTAATTTTTAGGTTAAAAAAAATCCTGTTGGAAGACCTTGCCTCGGCTTTCCAGCTAATCTGCACATTTTTTAAAAAAAATACACTGAAAATGGTTTCCTTAGAATTTGAAACATAATTTATGCTCAGAATAGGTTCTATATAATTATCCAGTTTTTCCTATATTCCTATAAAATGCTCTAAAATTGGTTACCAGATTTGTAGTGGTTTCATGAGCACCCAGGTTAAACTATAATTTGAGTTTAGCACAGACAAACTCTCTTCCTGGAACATACTGATTTCAAAATATCCTTTCAGCACCAAAGCTTGAATATGCATCATATGGCACATTTAAGGTCAAACAAAAAACAAGCAAGACTTTAAATTTAGAAGCAATTTTATGCTACAGATTTGTCATTTTTCTTTTTTTATAATATATAGGTGTGTCTGAACTTACCATACTTATGCTGTCCCAGGTTGTACTGTTGCATCCTATAGGCAGTGAACTCATAGGACGACACGGCAGGGAGAGCGGAGCCATGCAGAGACTGCACGCAAAGCAGCAGTGCAATGGCAGCTGTGCTCTGCAACATGATGTGGCATCCAGTTGTGATCTCAGGCTAGGGAGGATGGTTAATGTTAGACTTCATAAGAGACCAGACTTCCTTCAGTGCTGTACAAAAGTCTGGAGCCACCCTTCATTTATTGCTTCCACGAAGCCAGACGTTCTTGGAATTTTTATTTAAAGTGGTCTTTAGCAATAATTCTTCATGCTTTCTGAAGATCTTTAGACAGTGGCTTGTTTTTACTTATACTGAAACCAGTCCTTGTACCTGATTATTTTAAGAGCTAAGCCACTTAACACTAATATACAAATTGAACAAGTGGAGGAAAAGTGGAAGGCCTAAAAACTATCTAGAGCAGATGAACGATATTTGGAAGTCATGTTCTTAAGAGATAAGATAATAATAATAATAATAATGGATTGGATTTATATAGCGCTTTTCAAGGCACCCAAAGCGCTTTACAATTCCATTATTCATTCACTCTCACATTCACACACACAAGATCCACTAAATCCACCTGACACAGAACTCAAGAGACGCATCAGTTGGCCTACTGTTCACTGAATCCTCAACAGTGGAAGGATGGGTGTCAAGAAGCAATTTAGAATCCAGGGATGGGGAGAAGAGGCTGAGGTGTGCCAAATTATACAAGAACTGTGAGCAAAATCAGTGGCAATTGTAAATTTTTGGTTCAAATCATCATTAATATGTACAGATTTCTACCTGTAAGAGATACAACAAGCCTTACAGCTTAAATGGTGGAGGCTCTGTCATGCTTTCGGGCTCTTGTCAAAACTGATGGAATTATCAGTGCCGAAAAGTGTCATCAGATTTTGATCCACCATGCAATACCATTTGAAAAGCATTATGAGAATGATCCCAAACATACTCCCAATGCAGTAAAAGCATACCTGGAAAGAAAAACACAAAATGGCTCACTATTAATCATGGATTGGTTTCCCCAGAGCTTTGACCTCAATATTAACAACATCCAAAAAGAGCTTTGATTGCACTTCTAGGCCTGGTGAACTATTCCTGAAGATAACTCAAAGAAGAAGCCTGAAGAAGAGAATTCAGGCTGTATTGAAGAATAAAGGTGGTCATACCAAATATTAACTTTCAAGCTAGTTAGAATTGTACTGTTTTTGCCTTTTAAACCGTATTTCCATTTATGTTTCCACATGTTAGATATAAAGAAATGAGGGGTGACTCAAGACATTTGCACATTATATCTATTATAATATTTTGTGTTTAAATAAAGTCTTTGATAGGGCCAACAGTGTAAGGCAGAACAGATAAGGGGACAGTAATCACCCTATTCACCACAGGTTTTACAAATACCATACAAGTTTCTAGATGGATGAAAATGAGGTATTCATCATCACCTACTAACCAGTATATGAATCTTAACCAGGAATTCCTTCGATAAGGAGCCCTTCTCTGTTCACAGTGACATTTCCGAACACAAAGTCAGTCACTAACAGAAAATGTTCCTTACCTGTCTTCCTGCAGTTTTTTCTCATGAGGCTTTCTTTCTTCCTTCCTCAACTTCGGTGTTACTCCTTCCACATGGACACATGCTACCGTTAACTCCTGGGATTCAAGGCATCTAGGTAAGCCACCATTCACCATCTGCTCCAGAGGGATCAACTCAAAGCTAATCACAAATGCCCAACCCCCTGCACTCACTACTCCATCAATCTATTGTTCCCTCCCTCCCCACCTTGCCCACCTTGGACGTAATGTCATATACTTCAGTAGGCAATCACCCATTACCAGCAGAGTCTCTGCAGGGAAGGCAAGGAAACTCTTCCAGCCAGTAGCTGTTTGTTTCATCTCCTGCAGGGAAAACTACCAGAGTCTAAAGAAGTTAAAGAATATAACTGGATATTACAGAGTCACACGGCACCATCAAAGTTGAGATATCTAATATTTATTTTTATTTTTTTTGATATGTTGTACTATACACAGAACTTTAACACTATTAAAATCTAAATGGAACCTGTTCACAATCATCATAACAACAAATAAAAAGCTTCAGTCTGTGTATGAATTATTTCCCACATGTGAAAGTAAACAAAAAACACACAACTGCAAATAAATAGCATCAATTACAAGAAATTACCCTAAACTCAAGTCAGTGAAGAAGTCAGCTACACCTTAATTTATACATCAGCCACAAGTATTGCAATCGGTAGAAGATAATTGTGATGACTTGTGTGAAAATCCATTAGGATGATGTTAATGGTGGAAAAGAAAAATACAGCTCCACAGTCACACGCAATCACTTCCTCATCATATATGCTAACTGTGCATCCACCTACTAGCTACACTGGTGACATTTTAAATTACCTACTGTGCAGTTGATGGACTTTTCTACTTTTTGCACATGATTTTATTGTCTAAACACATGGCACCTTTTTGCAAAATGTAAACTATTTTTAGTGTGCACTTTTCTAAATCAAATGCTGCAGGAACACTGAGGTTCTATCAGGGATAAAAGGGAAATAAGCAATATTTTCTGAATTGTTAATTCAGATAAATAGTTTTTTAGTTATCTCTATCCAATCAACTTTTAGTTGTTTTATGCTATAAATACGGTACTACTTCCTTATATATAGTACAGTGCAAAGGTTCATCTCTTGATGACCACCACTACAAACTTAAACGTAAACAACAAAAAGCAAAAGCAAGATCACAAAGCAAGAGTCCTTTAGGAGGTAAACATTACACACTGTATCTCCAATAGCATCAATCTTTTAGATCTTGATTGTTACTGGTGCTTTTTGTAGTCTTTCATTATCATAACAGAAAAACATAAAAGAAATCAACACATTATCAGCTTTGACAGAACCCCCAGAAACACAGCCGCACATCTAACAAGAGACTCAAAATGAGGCTCTGCACCGTAGATGCGCAGTATTTGTAACTCCTTGAATATTCGTCAGTACTTCTTGTTACTATACACTGCAATTGAATGTAAAGTGCACACAGACTCCCATGTACGTTATCAGCTACGTTTCATTCAAGCTGTAGAGCTCATCGATTTTGAAATGACTTTAAAGAGATGGTGTCTCTGAATGCTTCATGATCATGAACAGTGGTACACTTCTAAAAGCTCATTACTTTAATTTTTCTGAAGCAGCTGGCGCGACCTTACATGATCATTTCTTTTGGAGTCGATTCACGTTCAAGTGACTTTTACCATCAACCAAAAAATAAATGTTGTCTGCAGAGTTCTGCCAATCTTCAGAGTAATAAAATCATTAAAAAGAAAGAAGGAAAACAAAGAATGCTCTTTCAGTACATTTAAACAACAAATAATAATAATGGATTGCATTTATATAGCACTTTTCAGGACCCTCAAAGCGCTGTACAATTCTACTATTCATTCACTCTCACATTCACTCGCTGGTGGAGGCAGCTACGGTTGTAGCCACAGCTGCCCTGGGGCAGACTGACAGAGGCGAGGCTGCCATATCGCGCCATCGGTCCCTCTGGCCATCACCAGCAGGCGGTAGGTGAAGTGTCTTCCCCAAGGACACAACGACCGAGACTGTCCGATCCGGGGCTCGAACCGGCAACCTTCCGGTTACGTGACGAACTGCCAACTCTTTGAGCCACGATCGCCCCACAAATAAACAGTTTCTATAGAACCTGAAAATAGTGAATGGCATAAAGCACTGTCAACATATGCTACACGTACAGATCCTGTCCCCACATCAATGAGTTCTATTGTTACTCAAGTAATATGCACTCGTTTCATACTTTACAAAAAAAAGGTAAAAATGAAAAGGGATGGCATGTTAATGTTCCTATCTAAAAAAAAGAAGAAGAATGACGGGAAAATAGAGGAAAAATATAAGATTAAAAAAAGAAAATCAGCATCCAAGCATTATGAGATCACTTCAACATGCTTCAGAACCCTGTATGTGTGACCAACACTACATCCCTACCAATGTATTTCCCATTTCCAAGCCCTTTTCTTTCTACTACTTTCCTAAGTTTATGTGAACCGTCACTGAGGGAGGCTAATGCAGACAAACACACTTTAAGTACACATTTACTCGCTGAGCTGACACTATACGGTTTCACTAGATTTACTGATATTACAGTATGTGAACCTAAATGAGATTAACTATGTTTCTGAAAGCACATTAATGTCTCCTCAGCACAAGGATGTGCTAAGGGCTCAATAAAAACGGATAAATTATCTGCACAGGCTGGTCATCTGGGCACAGTGTTAACAGGCAACATGCATTTTTCTGCTTCTTTTTTTTTTTTTTTTAAACTAAATATAAAACAACGGCCCAGTACAATCTTTGTGTTAAAGATAAACATGTAAAAGAAAAAATAAATAAAAAGAAAGGAATCTGGATTACTACTTTATTATAGCATTAGTGTTTTATCGGCAGCTGGATGATTTAGCACGGTGTTCCTGGGCTTAATCGCACACATCATGTTTGACACATATATACACAGGAAGACAAAGCAGACTGGCTGAAAGAAAAGAAAAAGAAAAACAATGGCCACTACAAAGCTTCCGATCTCTTCTTGTCCTTTGTGTACATCAGTAGAAGAAGTCATCTGCTTGGATGGGCGGATGACGCGGTAATAACAACCTGTCACCATCACACGTATTTTGGTTGAGTTCCTGTCATTTTACAGTTTTTTTTCTTCACCAGCGTTGCACCATCGCGGTCTGTTTAAGCCAGAAAATCCACAAGCATGAGATGGAAGTTCAAACAAAGTCGTGTGTTTCTCTTAGAGGTAATGTTTCTGCCATCAGTCGAGTCCCTTTTGAACCAACAATGCAGAAGTAAGATGCACAGATCCTACCATAGGAGGAACATGCACAGATACTGTACATATTCAATTTTCGCATTTATAAACCCTTGGTTGTTGTTTTTTTCCCTTTGTGCCTTTGCCAGCCTTTAATTTTTCTTCCTCTGTTGCCACTCTGGTCAGTTGTTGGCCTCAGTACAGGTGGCATGGAGGAGACTGTGTAGGTGGGGTTAGTGCTACTGGATTTGACAGGCTGTGGAGGGAGCAGCCTGGCAGCACATACAAGTGGGGTTGACTGCTTTAGGAGGGATCAGATCCAGATCCTCATCATCAGGAATCTCATCAAGTCGGTAACCGTCCTTCAGGAGCTGGATGTTCAGGTCCTGGTTGATCTGCTGTGAAACCCGAAGAAACAAGTATCAGGCATCAACTTTCTATGCTGATTCTAGAAATATATAGCATAGATCAATAGAGAGAAAATAAATCTTTGTAGTCTAAATTAATAAAAAGACACACAAAGCAGAAATATAGCAGAGTACAGAGAACTTACTAATGTAATGGCTTGAGTCAAGAACCCCAAAAATATAAATAATTTATATATTTATTCTACTCTAAGTGGAAGAAATGAAAAGGAACAAATCTATCCGGATGACAATTATGGAGAAGTCATTACAGGTGAGTGTGAGTGAAAGATCGAAGACGCCAGTGTACACTTGAATGGACGCACATACGCACAGACATCTGGTGTGACAAAGGAAGTGTGTGATCACATGGCGGTTTTCGTGATTTCACCACACGATGCTGTGAAACAATATAATATGTGTATAAATACCTGGTCCCTCAGACATCTCACCTCGGCTGAGGAATATCCTGATGAGGAGTATCTGGACATGTCAAAGTCATCGTCACTGCAAGACACGACATCAGTGGTTAGACATTAAAAATGGGGTGGGGGTGAGGGTGGGGGGGCGTCGATGAAACAGTAAGTTGTAGTGATAATGAAATAGTGGGAATTGAAGCCGGTCGCAGCGGTTGCAGTAACAAAACAAAACTCAGTCCACTGATTCATGACTGCCCGTATCACATTTACAGCCTCTATCGGGGTTATTTATTCTCCAGATAAAGATATTTAAATTTTAAGACTTGCAAACCTCCACAGTTCCACTAGAAACTCAGAAGCTATTATCCAACATAATGCATGCAGTTTACACTACCTGAGCAGCACTTCTCTTTGAAAAGGGATTATATTAATTAAAGGTGTTATATTCATCTTTCAAAGAAAATCTGAATGTAACCTTTGAAGGGAAACACAAAGTGGTGAAATTTCCAAACTACTGGACCTCACGGAAACATTTTTTCCTAGTTTCATGTTAAACACTCTTAGTTAAGACAAAGCTGTCGTAAATCGCTTATTACAGCCTGATGAATGTCACTCATGCACGATGAGATATGCGCTCATGAGATCTGATCATTAGCATAACCAACGCCTCCATAACTACTCTATATTTAGCAGAGTCAGTGGAGGCTTTAGAGGACCAGAAACTATTAAAAATGTGTGTTTGATCAGGGCTGTAGTGAGAAAAAGGAACTAAAAGTGTTAATTAGAATGCGATACAACATCTTTGGTAAGTGGTCCGTGACTAACATGAAATTTATCAAATGACGGAGATAAGAAATAACAGAATATTATAGCCTGCATTAGGTTGTGTTAAAGTGTTGAGTGATGCTGGACAAACAACAGCAGAACGACTGTGAGGCATTTGGCTGAGAGACTTTTAGGAAAAATGACTGTATCATGTATGTGGCAATGAAAAAATATGTAATTAAAAATAGTAAATTAAATTTTCTTTCATTTCTGTATCATATTTAA